AACTTGTCTAAGGGTATAAAGTTATTAATGAGCATGTTGACATCCAGAGCCAGGTGATCAGGCCCAGAGTCCACGCTCTTAGACACGATCACATGCTTTCCTTTCATAATCTTAGTGGGTCGTTGACAGAGAAAACGGGAATCCTTGTACCCATCTTACAGTCATGGGGATGTGAGAGCATGAAGCCCCATGTGCCTGGGTAGTACCATTGGAGAAAGAAAGGGGCTTCAGCTGGAATAATCTGAGTCACGTGATGGCCAAGGCCAGGGATGGGGCTCTATTCTGAGGCTACTGTCATTGACCACGATGGGGAGAGAGGTACTTACAAAAGTCACGGAGTCGCGGTCCAGCGTCTGGTAGTGACACCCTACCAACAATTCATCTCCCTGTGCAGAGCGAAACAAAGGCTCAAAGTAAGACACAGAGGGACTGGTACAGTCCTCTTGGCTAACAGTACTGAGTGCTGACCCTGCCTTCCCCCAATGCCGGCCATGCCTCCCGCCAGGCTCCCACTGGCTTGATGGCCACTCAAGAAGGTAAATCTCGAGTCTCCTGCAGATTCAAGTCATAGGAATCATCTTTCCAGATTGTTCGGCATTGTGTTCCATTTCTGGAGGGGGACAAGGGGAGGGGACAGGAATAAGGAGAGGATGAAGCAGGGAGGGGGTCTGTCAACAGAGAAGCAGCGTGTGCAGTCATTCTGTGGGCACAGATTGCCTGTAAAATGAAAAAGCTCCCTCCGCTGTCATATTCCTGTCATCACTACTCTAGGGATAGTTCTAGCTTCTCCTACTCCCAACTGAGCATAACGTCATGCCGCAGAATAAATAATTATTGCTAACATTTATTTCCAAATACAGAAGGGAGAGCTTCCAATCCGTGTCTTCCTTACCTGTATTGCACGGCCTGCAGAGTGCGGCCAGCCAAGTGGGTGTGGAGCAGGTAGCCGCAGACCTGGATGTCAGGCACCGGGGCCCCGTTCATCTGTGGCAGGGAGGAGACCACCTGGCTTGTTAGGAACTCTCGTCTGGCCCCGCTCCTGGGTTTCCTCCTTTCACATCTGACCCCTTCGTCTTATGACTGAGACACACCCCTTTAGTCCCTACTGGACCTCCTGGCCCCTCTTCCTGCCCTGCAGCCCTGCCTCCTGGCTCCCCCGCCCCATTCAGGTGAGCGATTTTCCTGAGCACCAGGCAGTGGTCATTCTCCAAATCTGGGGCTCAAGCTGTGCCTTGTGGGTCACAGCAGATTTGCGATGGGGAACCGGGAAGCTCAGGGGAGGAGGGGTGCCTCCCAGCTTCACCTCGTCAAACTTCTCCGCCTTACACAGCCCATAGGATGCGAAGGACTCGGCACCCGGGGGTATGAAGTGGATGGGCAAAGCGCAGAAGCCCAGCTGCAGGACACCCATGTCATATTTGTGTAGCTGCACCTTGTAGCACACTTGAATCCCCGAGGAGCCGTACACACCTGGTGCAGGAAGGACCAATCACAGGATGCAGGAGACCGTGTCGCACGGTGGGGAGGAAGAGGCCCTGGGAAAGTGGAGGGGGGGGCGGGGGGGCGCTGCCAGCAGAAGAAGTAGGCGTGCATCCTGCATCCCTTCCCGACACCTAGAGGGCTCAGCCAGCCTCACCGCCGCTCTCCCGTAAATGCTCTAGGCGCTCACCAGGAAGACTGTGCAAATTGCTGTAGTGAATCTCCAGTTGGACCCACTGGGGGTCCAAAGCCATCCCAGTAGAGATACCCACGTCGCCTGGAAACTGGTAACTGTTGGATGGAGGGTGATTTGGCGGCAAGAATGGCTGGGAAGTAGGTGCAGGGACCCGGACCTGCCCTTGTCTTTTGGCCCTCGTCCCAGACCTCCCGTTTCCCCACCTTCTATCAATCCAACAATCCCAGTTGCCCAACCACACGTGTCCCCTTAGCGGCTGATTTCTCTCATCACACGACTCACTGTGTCCCCGACAGCCCAGCCCACGATGACCTGTGAACAGAGGGAGGAGGCGGGGTCGGCCCCGTAGCAGTCGCTGATGCCCTTGGGCAGAGCACTGGTGTTGCCGCAGGCGGTACACCAGGATGTGGTGCACCGTCGTCTCCTTGTGATGGACCAACTTGGGCTCAAACTGGGCAGGGGATGCAGGACAGAGTGTGGTCAAGATCTTCTGGGCCATGTTCTTATCCCCGCTGTTCCTTTTCCCCAAATAAAACTATGCCCGTCCCCACTTCTCTCTCTTTCTCTTTCTCTTCCGTTCCCTCTTATTTTTTTTTCCTTCCCCAACCTATCATTTCCCCTGCACTCAGTCTGACTCCTCTCTCAGTCCTCACCCTTTTAAAATCCCTTCCTGATAGCACAACACACTTGATCCAGCCGGGAACATCCCAAGACTTTCTACTTTCCCTTAAGAACCTCGTCAGTTCTCTATATTTGAGCATGTGATCATGCCTTGTTGGATTCACTCTCTAAAGAAAACAATGGCTCCCACGCATTTGCCACTCATTGTAAGGTCACACTTTTATTTATTCGATCAAAAGTGAAAGCACTCAAATGTGAAGTCAGATGACCGACTTGAGTTTCCTCTAGCCAGACTTTCCCGACCTGACAGCCTTTGGCCACGTCTCCCCAGCCTGCACCTCCTCCTGGGCTAAGAGAACACAATTCTGGGCCCAGGACAGGACTTATACTTTGTTCTTTGCAAACACTCATTAACCAATGACCGTCATCAAAATCGCTGCTGCACTGTGGGGCATGAATAAAACAGCGCTGGGAGCTATAGTTCTGGGCTCGGGAAATCACGAAACTGCCACCTCCACCAAACCTGGCCTGGCCCCCATGTTCTCCTGACCACATCCCTCCTTCATCCTCCCAGCAGTTTTCTGAACACCATCTCTTCAGAGTCAACCATGCCCACTGCCTGTCTCGACCACCTTGACAATGTCCTGAAGTCTGTTTCATGGTACCTTGTAGATACGGTGCTTCTTGCTAACGATGGAGAGAGGGAGGAAGGGGCAGGCGTACGTGGTGTCATCCTCTGGGATGAAGAACTGGACAAGGACACACAGAGGCTGAGCAGGTGGTAGGGAGACTCCCGGAGAAGCAGGGGAAGGGACAGGTCGGGGAAGGGTGGCCACTTGAGGGCCAGTTTGACCATCCTCGGGGGACCAAGGGGAGTCAGAGGAACCTCAGTTCCAGGAACGTACTGAATATTGGGTGCAAGAGGAAGGTCTGGATTGAGAGGAAGGTGGGCAGTGGCTGGAGGCGGCTGGGTGGGGAGGAGGGGCCTTACATCAGTGATCTCCAAGTCATGGATGATGGTGTCCTCGGGGACGTCGAGATCATCGGGGTGGACAATTTGGAGCAGGAAGATGGACTCACAAAAGTACGCTCCCGATCCAGCTTCAGAGTGTCATCTGGGCCGTAGGTGGCAAGCACCCTCACAGTGTCACTCTGGGGGCATTGAGGTGCTGCAGCCCACGAGCAGCACTTTGCACACACCCACACCCAGCCACTGACACAAGCCACTTGCTCACATCGACACAGTGGAACTTACAGGGACAGAGTAAAGGGACAAACTAGGTGATTAAATAGTTAATACCACAAGGGGATTGTAAGTAGAGAAAAAAGTATGGCGGACCCCTGTAAGTTAACGATTACTCAAGAAAGCAGGTTTACTTAACCACCAAACCAAGCAGGCTTGCTTAGCAACAAAACCATGCAACAGAAGCATGAGACATGCCCCAAAACAATAAAACAATGGTGACATGAGACCCATATCCTTCCCAGTGAGCTCAGTAAGTTAATGACCCCTAGGACATGCTCTCTGCACGCATCAAAAACAATAATTTATGGAAAGGTGACATGTCAAAGTGAAAGACCCTCACTGTACTGAGACCTGAAATAATTTTTCCGTAGTATCACGACAGTCCTGGCTTGATCATGTTGGGACAAGAAAACTCCCCTGCCCAACCTGGAGGCAGAGCTGATGATGGAAGCTTGTGTCTACTCAAGAATGAGGAAGAAGTTGGTCTTCTCCCCCTCCCCAGTTTTCCTTTGATTGTAAAACTGTAGACCACTAAGTTCTCTGGGGCGGCACCCTCTCACCCACCTGATATAAGCCTCACAAGCTTCCTATTCTAATAACTCACTTCTTATCTGTCACTTTGCCTCTCCCTGAATTCTTTCTGCACTGAGACATAAAGAGCCAGAGCTCCTTGGAGCCCCCCCAAAATGCCACCTAGCGGTTTCAGAAAGGAGAACACTTCAGACTGGGGTTCAGAACTAGTCAGGTTCCAGTTCTGCCTAGAGGCTGACTTGCTGGAGATGTTGAGTAAGTCACACCCCCTCTCATGTCCCCTCTCTGAGCCTGTGTCCACATCTGGTTCATGACACTGAAGTTCAAGGAGATCAGACAAGGTTCTTCAGGAGGGGACACTAGGGAGGGTGGCATGGGGCTGAGTCAGTGGGAGGCCACCTGTAGAGGGCTGGTGGAATCAGAGGCTGCAGGATTGGGGCCGTGCCTGGGAAGGCTGAGAGAGACGAGGGCCCTGGAACCAAGACTGGCTGCCTGACAGGCACGGCCATTCCAGGTTGGGGGTGACTTCACCTCCTAGAAGGAAGGCTGCTTGTGAGCAAATGCTCCTCTCTCCTCCCTCTTTTACCGTGATGTCTTGGTCTTGAGGGTCACAGGAGCGGAAGGGCCTGGAGAAGCGCATGGTGGTATAGATGGTGTCTTCTGTCAGTGCCTGCAGCTCTGCGTCCTGGCTCCCTCCTCCAGAGCGTCTTCATCCACCAGGTGCTGATTCTAGGGTCCAGGAAGGGTGAAGGGGTAAGAACCAGGAGCCCTACGTGGTCACGGATTCAGAGTAGTCTGGGCCCATTTAGCCCCAATAAAGTACCAAATTAGCAGAACCCAGGTCTGTATTATAAGTTGCTCCTAGGACAGAGCATAGCATCAAGGGGGGATTCGTGGGGAAGAGGGATGGACAGTGTCTGATGGAGTTTAACCACTTGACCTTGCTTTGCTTCTCCCATTTCAAATCTCATCTCCATAAATCCTAATATTCCTGTATCCCCAAGTCTTAAAAGCTCACTTATTCTCTGAACTGTCTATGCTATTCCTCTTCTCATGGGGCTCTTAACATGGGCACTTCGCCATATAAATGAAGTTCAGATTGAGTGAGACTGGGAGACGCGTGAGCTGCGTCTTCAACTGTAAAATGCGGGAAGAAACCTCATGGTGATGCTGTGAGGTTTAATGTGCAAAGAATTTGGACCAATGGCTACTTAACCAAAAATGAGTAACAATTTTAAGCTATTATTGTTGCAGGTGCTGATGTTGTTGTTAGATTATTTTATGTTGTGATCTATTTGACTGATCCTAAAGGTAACTGAAGATGAGGACTGTGTACCAAACAGCTTTGACTCTCCCCCCAGTGACCTGCACCGAGACCGTGGTCCAGGACTCTCTCTCTTTCAGTCCAATGGCTCCATTCCCTTGGCAACTTAGAGACATGCAGTCTGGAAGACCTAGATTCAAACTCTCCAATGGACCATTTCTGTAGGGAGAGGTCAGCCATCAGTTGGTGCTCTGGGCCTGGATGTGTTTGGAAAATGCGGATCCTTCCTGGACTCAGAGCCACCCTCCACCCAGCAAGAGACCCTCACGCTTGGGAGGGAGTCACCCTCACACTCACCGAGAAATAGACATTGCCGTCCGGTGAGACTCCTCCAACAACCAGATTGCTTCCCACCATGGTGTAGCGATTTGTGATACCCAAGCCCACCCAGCCAGCTGTCTGGACCTGGAGCTCAAAAGTGATGATCTCAGCCTCAAGGTCAAAGTCCCAGTGCAGGAAAATAACATTAGAAGGATCTAGGAACATGGAATAACGCAGACGTGATGTGAGGCCCAGGTGGTTGCCTTGAGAGGAGGTCAGCAGGGCCATAAGTAGGAGAAGCCGAAAGAGAAGGGCACAGGCCATGGCTCCTGGGGTCTGAAGCATCTCTCCTTAGATGGACACTCAAGAAGTATGGACTTATATGTACCTCTGCCTGTGCTAGGCACCATGCCATGGGGGAGGGACAGAGTGGGGCTCTTCTGATCTCATTATCTCTGGGTTCAGAGTGGTGCCACTTACATAACTTGGAGGTGTAAGGTGCCCAGAGAAGGTTGCCCTTGCCCTGGAGTAGGGACCTGGCATGAAATTCTTGGGAATGAATCACTCAGTCTCCTCCCTCCTGACCCAATACCAGTGTCCTATCCATGGGGACCCTGCAGAATCAAGGAGGTTTTATTTCTCCCTGCCTCTCCCTCTATTTCTCTCTCCCTCCTTCCATTCTCTCCCTTTCTGCCCCCACCATCCCTGTATCCTTGGATGTTCTTACTGAGCGCTCTGGCCTCTGGCACATGTCCCTCACCCCAACTTCTTATGGGCATTTTCTATTTTGTCTCTATATAGAAGTGATGCACAGACAGGGAGTGGGACTCCAAGTGGCCCTGCCTTCCAGCCTCCCTACAGTGCAGGAGGAGAGGAGGTGTTGGGAGATGCGGAGGGGAAGGCTATGGTCTCCATCTCCTGGAAGAGTCTTTACTACTAATCCCTGGAAGGACATGTAGAGGTGAAGGAGCCATAATCAGCTTTCCAGATGGGCACGTCTGGGGCAGCTGCAAGTTTCTGCACGTCGCTGGGGAGGAGCAAAGAGGCGGAGGAGGGGAAGGAGAGGGAGAAAAGGGGGAATAAATGTGAATTTGCCTTTGGGATACTCTGCATGTTGCCCTTCCTCCCACAGATTGCCATTTGGAGAAGTCACCTTCGGGGACCCTCCACTGGAGTCTTGGCCAACTTCCCCGCTGGCAAGCTCTTTGGTACGAGGCAAACAGAAGAAACGCAGAGGAATATTAAAATATCAGAACACCAGAGTGAAAAGGAACTTTAGATCCACTTGATTTTCAAAAAATTCCAGTCCACTTAATTTTTTGATGAGGAAATGGGACCATCAGGGAGTAACATGCGTAGTGCCCGAACCCCCATCCCGTCGGCGGCAGAGCTAACTGCGAGGCCATAGGGGCCCTGCCCCCAGGATGGTGCTCTTTCCATTATTTCCTTAGGTCACAGACACCCATAAGCCACGCAGCCCCCTGGAGGCATCTCTACTGTGGCTTGTCCTGGTGGAGGGAGCTGGTGTCATTTGCTGGCTGCTCCTTAGGGAGGGGACCAAAGTCTCTAATCCTAGAGTTCTTTCTTCCAGTGTGAGTGACAGAGCTGATAATCATTTGACCCTCAGTGTTCTTCCTCCATCAGACAACGGAGAGGATCTGAAAAATTAACAAGGATACATGCCTCGAGGGCCTCCTCCATCACAGAATCCGGACCACACACCTCCACACAGGAATCCAGCTTAAGTGAGGGCAGGAAGAAGCTGGCACCTCTGTTTACGCCTCCATTCAGGCCACGCATGTTCTTCTCATCACCTATGGAGCCCATCAAAGCTGGTAAGGACCCAGCTGAGGTTGTTTGCAGCTGCTGTGAGCACCTGAGTAGTAGCTGGGGCGCGGTGGGGAGGAAACACCGTTCCCAAGAGGGCAAGCATACCACCCACCTCTGAGCAGGCAGAGAAGGTAGGGAGCTAAGCAGCCACCTGGAAGGAAGAGGCTTACTTTGGCCCAGGACGGGAGCCTGGCCAAGGCCAGAGGATGGAGCCTGGGGAGTCACCGACCTTGAGGAACCAGAGCCCGGGGAGGAGATAACAGGGGTGTCAGAGACACTGTGATCCCAGTCGCACTTGGGGATTAAGACAAATGGAGAAGGGGGCCGGGAGATAGGACTGCCAGCCCTGTAAACCAAGATGGGTCCAGGATCCGTTTTCCTGCAGTCCGCTCACCGGCCAGAGTGCTGACCACCACAACCCCAGTTATGGTTTTCTCCCCTCTCCCAGCCCCCTTTCCTTTAGTCATCCAAATCCCAGAGTTGACTCTCTCAGAAGCAAACCTCAGGATTAAGTGCACGAGGCTTGTGAGGACACACCATCTCAGCGTGTCCTTTGGTCTGGTATTCAAGAGGTGTGATTTGGGCAATGCTTCACAGAGCTCATCTCTCTCCCTCTCTGGAGTGACGGATGTGGCTGGGAATAGGTAAGGGGGCCAAAGACAAGAGTGACTCAGCACATGAGATCAGAGCAGAGGTTACCCGAGGGGAAGGGGACATGGGGGTGGGTGAAGGGAGTCAACTGCATGGTGATGGATGGTAACCATACCTGTGGTGGAGATCACTTTGCAGTGTGTACAGGTGTTGAATTATAATGCTGTACACCTGAAACTTAACGTACAAAAAAATCAGATTCCCGCCTCCCCCCCAAAAAAGGGAATCAGCCCATGTTACTTAGAATGTAGTGCAATTGACATTTTGTGCACATTTAGATGATGCAAATTTGAAAGTGTGATATAGAAAATATTAATGAAGTTACACACGGAATTGTACATAATGAAAATCCGTATTTTTAAAAAAATTGAACCACACGGTTTCAAAGCTTGTGAGCCAAGTGAATTGTAAACTGTATTATACCATCACCAAATGCCATCAGTGACTGTTATCTTTGGCCAGACTCGTGTGAACCGTATTGTTGCATGTATTAAAACTCCAGCAGCTTAGAAAAAATAGTGACTCTGGGAGGCACAGAACCCCAGGATGCCAGGCCGCTGCTGGGCCGCGACACACAGACTCTCTCGGAAGATGGGTCTGCAGCCTCACCCTGCTCTAATTCCCTTCTCCATTTATGGAGTGTCCTGACACCAACTTGAATATTGTGCAGCCCCAGGTCCTGAAAGAGTAAAGTTTTGTTGCTAGACCCCTCTGTGTCTCCATAGTTCTGTCTATAACATGCTGAGGTTGTAGCCACGGTAGGTGTGGGTCTTTTAAATCTCATTTCCCAGATCATTGGTTACCAAAACACGAGGCCTCTTATCAATGTTAAAAAAAGTATGAGAACTCGTGATTTGAATCTCAGTTGATTACTAAGTGATAGGAGATTAAAGACCAATAAAAGCCACTATATGTTTTTATCGGAAGTTTACAATTGCAATAATAGAGGTCAACTCATTAAGCGATTAGTCTCTGCCAAGTTTTACTCTCAGAAATGTTCATGTATGAATCCACTTACTCCTATGAAAAGGCTTTCATTATCATCTTCGTCTTACAGAGGAAGAAACCGAAGTCCAAGTTCACACTGCCAGTAAGTGGCAGCAATGTGAGTTGCTGGGAAAATACAATTAAAAACAAAATCCCCTCCCAACTCAGAAAATCTCTCCACAAAGGTAGAAGAGAAAGAAAACAGTTTTATTATTGAATAATCATTAAGTTAGAATGTGATACACACCACAAGCATTCCGTTAGAGATTGCAGAGACAAAAAGAAATTTCGGCCTATCATACAGACCAGCAGATCAAACCCACTGCACACGTGTTCTCAAGCAATAACTAGTCCCCAAATGAGAGGACTCGACAGGACCTTTTGTTCATCCACAGTTCACGCTGAAGTCACTTGGTAATTGGGCTGTCTATCTGTGTTTGCAAATTGGCTTTACCAAAGGAGAAATAGACATGTTATATCTTTATGATGAAATCATTTTGCAACTCGGTGCCAGCCGTCTGCTCTAGACTAAGTTAAGCTCATCTTCCTTGATGTTTATATTCCAAAGAGATGGTTGCAGGTCCTTGAGAAAGACATTCCTGGGTCTTAAAAGTGATTTAGCTTTTAAGAGTGTATGCATTTCAAAGAGACAGAGAAAGAACTTACAAGTTTTCTACAGTAAATGCTCTTAAGAAAATGGAGGGGAGGGAAGTCTCTCCCCTTATTTTCAACAGGAGAACTGAGCCTCTTCCATTTGGTTTGTATTTGCTTTTGCAGAGGAAAACACAGGTCACTGGAGATGAGTGTCCATTGCCGACCGCCCAACACTGACCTGCAGCAGCCTCTATGCCTATGAGAAGATGTCTTTGTTCAATCTGCAAGTGTGGCTTCATTGCAATGAGTTACTTTAATTCCTTGCAAAAACTTGAGGCACGGATTCAGCACGGAATCTCTGCGAAGCAGCTAAGAGGGTGCAGGGCCAGACACCTTCACTAAGGCCCCCAGTGAGCCTGGGGAGTGTGTACGAGTGAGTGCGTGTTGGCGTGCCGAAACAGGAAACTCCAGTTTGAGGTTTGAGCCTCAGTGAGAAGATAAGATCTTGAGTTTCCTGGAAAAGCCGCTCCCTTTTGAGTGTCGGGCCCAGAGAGCCTCAGACACTAATCACCACCTTACAGGCCAAGATCAGCTCTCCTGCCTAGGCTGTCCCTGTCCCGTGGTCCCCCGTCCCACTGCCCTGCCGGAGAGGCCCGGGAATGGCCCTGTTTCCCATCCTGTGGGGCTGGGTTCTCATGGGTGCAGTGAGTACAGGTCAGAGGCCAGGCAGAGACAGCCACTCGGTGGCTTGAGGGAGGGAAAAAGGGACTGGGTCACTGGGGCCCCTGTGGGTACAGAGGTTTTGCTCCCTGATCCCAGATCTACATATCTCCTCGCCCTGTGAGAGTGCCCGTCCTGTTCCCAGCAGCCTCCTCTCCGCCTTACTCATAGGACCCCCTCTTCAGGATTCGGCTATAACTAGTTATTTCTGGCAGTGACCTTTAGCTACCTTTACTACCCCCAGGACCTTTAGCCTGGCCTGCTTGTGTGTTTCAGATGCCGACACAAGCTTGGTGGAGCAAAGCCCCAGGTGGGTCCTGGTACCTCGCGGACAGGCTGAAACCCTGCGCTGCATCCTGAGGAATTCCCAGTACCCCTGGATGAGCTGGTACCAACAGGATCTCCAGGGGCAGCTACAGTTGCTGGCCAATCTGCGGAGTTCTGGGGATGAGAAGGTCATATCCCTTCCTGGAGCAGATTACCGGGCCACGCGGGTCGGTGAAACAGAGCTGAGCCTACACGTGGCCAATGTGACCCAGGGCAGAGCCCTATTCTGCACCTGCAGTAAAGACACAGTGAGACATCCTTCTTGGGCAAATGAATAAAAACCACCCCTGCTTCCCAACCACAGACCCAATGTCCTCCTCTGCCCTGACGGTCCCCCAGCCTGCTTCCTCCCCACCCAGAGACTCCCTTCTGGCCTCTTTACTACAAGCAGACCTCCCCCGCCACTTTCCCACTGCGCTTCAGAGACACTCGGCCAAATGAGCACAGCAATCGACCCATGGGCTCTGCAGGGCTGGGGGCAGCCTTGACTCTGCCACTTGGGGCTTTGGGGAAGACCTCATCTCACTGAAACTTAGTTTCTGTGTTTGCAAAGTACAGACAGTAACTCTACCCAACTCAGAAGGTTGCTGCTAGGATTAACAACGCAATTCAGGTGAAGCCTTTAGGAAAATACAGAGGCACGTAGGAAGCACTTAATCACTGTTAGCTATTTTCTCCACAGTATGCGTGTATAAAAGGCATATAGCGGGCTTCCCTGGTGGTGCAGTGGTTGAGAGTCCGCCTGTTGATGCAGGGGGCGTGGGTTCGTGCCCCGGTCCGGGAAGATCCCACATGCCGCGGAGAGGCTGGGCCCGTGAGCCATGGCCGCTGAGCCTGCGCATCCGGAGCCTGTGCTCCGCAACGGGAGAGGCCACAACAGTGAGAGGCCCGCGTACCGCAAAAAAAAAAGCATATTGCATTTCAGTACCAGTATCAGTGCCCAGAGGGGTGCTGAAAAGAAGCCCAGAGGGGTGCTGAAAAGGAACCCAGAGAAATTCTGGGAGCTCAGAAAAGGGGTAGAGTGAATATCTCAACGTATGACCCCCCCACTCACACCGCTGGAATAAATAAGCACACGTTTTTTCCAGTTAGATCCACATTCTCGGCACTCAGCACTGCCTAAATTTCTCACACCTCAAGCTCAAGTCGATCTTTCTAAAATTAAGATCCACAGAGAGGGCCTGACCTAGAAAGGACCAGCGTCTGGGTTCCATAGTGGAGGATTTACCAAATATTGACCTAAAAGCCGTGGCTCAGAACTGGGTCTGCAGCCTGAGGAAGGGCACACATGGAGTGAGGGCAGAACAAGGAGACTCAGCCCCAGACAACGGGCCGGGAACCAGCGGGAGAGGTGTTATGAGAGAGAACCCCATCCTGAGACCCCTGCAGAGACGGGAGACCGTGCCGCAGCTAATCCACTCTGCTTCCAGCTCAGCTAATCCACTCTGCTTCCAGCTCGGAGCTTCTCCGTCCTAGACGGTGTGGACCACGTGAGCAGGTAACTGGGGTGCAGGGTGGGAGTGAGTGAATAAGGAGGCATTTCAAAGGCAGCCCCGTCTCTGATGGCGGGGTGGGTGGGCGTGTGGTTTGCGGTGCAGAGCTGCAGGCACTTGCTCTTTCCTCAGTGCTTGTGGGCAGTGAGAAGTTTTTTCCATCAGGGAGCGCCATCTGCCCACGGATCTCCACGACCTGCACCAAGGGCATGACAGCAGCCATAGGTGTTGGTCTTCTCTCAGCCCCTCTCAGGTGTGGTGGTGAACACCTGCCCAGCTCTAGAGGACAAGGACAGGGATGAAGAGGAGGTCGAGAGCCTGGCCCAGAGCCCTGGGGGCATCTGGAGCCCTGGGGGCATCTGGAGACCTGTGTTCTCTCATTTCTCCAGGAAGGGTACCTCTGTTTGAGAATATCACTGGGAGGTCCGCAGTCAGAGGCCATCGAGAGGCGGTTTAATACAGAGGAAATGGTAGGGCAGAGAGGCCCTGGGCCACCGGCTCTTAAAGGAAAGCTGGGGCCCTCTGCTGGCAGTTCTTAAAACAACTACAGCCAAGCATCTGGCTGGAGTGATGGAAAGGACCATTGCTCCGATGGGTTCCCTTCAACCTCAATCCCTGAGAGCTCTCTGGCGACTTCCTGGATGCAATTCGGCTCTCAGACCCTGAACTATGCCTTAATACTATTGCCTGTATCCTTGATTCCATGGTGATGAAACTAGCCCTCGCAGAATGGCAGATGGTAGGGGTTCAAACGATGCTTTTTGACTGAATGGATAATGTTATTCCCTGGTTACTCAGATAGGAAATATTGATCAATGTCCTGTGAGTCTCCCGTCTTCAGGTTGATAAGTGATTTGTCCGTTTCTTTGCAAAGTATATTTAATTTCATTTTCTCCTTCAATACTTTCAAATGCTCTATTAGGCAAGTACATACCACCATTTTTTTTAAAATAGGGAAATGGATGCTTAAGAGTTTGTATGACTTGCCTGATGTCACATAGCTAATAGTAGTAGAACCAGGTCTCAACAAACAGGAATTCTGTTTCTACGTCTAGGACTCTCAACACCTCTCTCTGCATAATGAATACATTACTACTGGGATGGGGGAGGTGTTACCTGGCCAGCATCTTTGCCCCCCTCCAGAAAGCCGATGCACATAACATTGCTAGTGATGTGGGAATTCCCTGGTGGTCCAGTGGTTAGGACTCGGTGCTCTCACTGCTGGGGCACAGGGTTCAAACCCTGGTTGGGGGAAATAAAAAACATTGCTGTGATGCCATCAGGAGAGGCTGTTTGGCAAACATGGTCAGAGAACGCAGGGAAATCTACACACCACGTGGAGTAGGTCAGGTGAGTGGCCCGAGAAGAAGAGTGAGGAAAGGGCCAAGCTAGTCACCCTGGATGCAGGATCAGACTGGAATAGACAGAATTATACTGATTAAATCTAATCACTTGGAGGGAAAAGCAGTGTATTTTCTGTTCGTGTAAACCAGCTTCTGCCCTGTAGTTGTCTTCACGGTTTGGATTAGTCTGAAGATCGTGGAATTGAAGGACTGGCACGTGAATACAGTCACCAACGACAGCTGTCTACTTGTTCTCCTTTGTCTCAGTCACTCTCTCAATCAATCAATCAATGTATAAAAATGCCTGCTCAGTTGTCAGTATTTTACTAGTAGGGTGTGACTTTCAAGAAATATGAGGCATGTTTCCTCTTTACTTCCTCCAAATTTTACCGTCTTATTTCCTTCCTTATTCTTTCATTTAGAAGGTCCTCAGAGAGCAGAAAGCATGAGCTCAAAATTTCGCTTGTCGAGCGGCAAAGAAAGGAGTTATATATCTTTGTGTAACATCTTGGTTGTAATTCAGACTCCTGAGCCCCAAGCAGAAACACAGCTAGTATTTAAGACCCATATGCCATCGTTTCAGGGCCCCTGAGTAGGGGAGGAAGAGGGGGCCTAATGTGAAGGTAGGGGATTAAATACAGGTGGGCTTGGGGAGAGGGGAGTTGATAATGAGTTAATAATTGTTAGGGTTTCAGGATCCACGCAAGGGTCCCTTGAGCTTTAGGCATACTCACAGAGTGCCCTGGTGGGAGCTTGTTGATGATAAACTGGGATGAACTGGATAAACTGGGTTTGGGATGAATCCTGACACGTTTGGACATGAAAATAGTTTTCATTCTTTTTTTTTAAGATTTTTTTTTGATGTAGACCATTGTTTTAAAGTCTTTATTGAATTCGTTACAATATTGCTTCTGTTTTATGCTTTGGTATTTTTGGCGGCGAGGCATGTGGGATCTTAGCTCCCCGACCAGGGATCAAACCCGTACCCTCTGCATTGGAAGGCGAAGTCTTTACCACTGGACCACCAGGGAAGTCCCAGCAAATAAGTTTAATTCTAATTGAAGAAATAAGCACAGATGTAAAGAAATGGTGACAGATTCCCAGTCATCCCTTGGTAAAGGCTTCAGTGGAATTATGATTTCTTGAGTGCCTACTATGTGCTAAGTATTATGCTACGTGCCTTTCATAAGTTATTTATTCCCAACAATCCAGAAAAGTATTATGGGTCCCATTTGAGAGATAAATACACTAAGGCAAGAGAGGTTAAATTACTTAATTACTTGCCCAAGGACACACAGCTAGTAGCTGTTGAAGCTAGGATTAAATACCAGCTTGGATCCCAAATCCACACCCTCTCAACTACGCTAACCCTAGGTCACCCTTTGGGGGAATCTATAAATTAAATGAACTTGCAGTGGTGGGGCAGATGGTAGGAGTCAAAGAGGGGGGATGGGGTTGACAATAACAGGAGGGATTCAGCTAAGCTAACGCCAAAGCATACTGAAGTGAGGGTAGAAGGGCAACCAGGCAGGCTGTCAGGGCCAGGTGGCCAGTAGAGGCGTGGCAGGCCAGGGAAACTAAGTGTATGGCAGGCACTTAGCAGCAGGACGTTCTGACAGCAAGAAGCTGGCCTCTTACGAGTTTCTAGCACCACCTGGGGAGAGTAAGGCAGAGTCCAAGCTTATAGGAGCCAGAGAATCAGACAAGGTTGTCAAGTCAAAGACAGCATTAATGCAACTGGGATACAAAGGGTGACTTTACTGCAGGAACAGAACAGAAGCCCAGTCATTAGAATTGGGCCTGTTAAGGTAGAAAAATGTAATAGCAAGTTTGGCTTGGTGATGAGTCACTTGAATAAGGAGAATGTTTAAACTCCTTTCACAAAGGACAGCATTGGACCCCGGTCTTGGGCTGCTGTTGTAGATGGAGCTCTGCGGATTATAGACGTGCCAATTAAATTGATCAGGGTAGGGGTTTGGGGCTTCAGAGAGCCAGGGACGAGCAAGTATAGACTGGGGGAAAGACAAGGGGAAGACATTTGTCTCTATGGCATATTGGTTTAATTTTGGTCAGAGTAGCTGCCAGAAAGCCCAAAGTAAGATAATCAAGCTGCCTAGTGCTGTGTGAGTTTTCAAAGGGCCTGGGAGTGATGGCCTTGGGGTTTCTTGTTAGTGTCCAACCCTGGCCCAGCTTCTCAAAGCCCCATCTTTAGCTTCCGCTGGGCAATTTGATTCTATTCCAATTGTTTGAGCCAATGACTTTAAACCAGGGCTTTTTTTTTTTTCCACCCTGGTTCCCTATTGAACAGAGCTCACTTTATGGTTTCTCAGATCCTCCCATCCTTGAAGTAAATACACAAAGGAAGAAATTCTAAATTAAGTTCTAAGACGTCTTGAAAGTCTCATCAGTGCAGTAGCTGGTGTTCATTTCTGTGCACAAGAACAAGCTCCAGCCTAACCTTCACCCAGTTTTTGTGAGACCCTATCCATTCACATTTAACTTTGGGGAGCTTTTCAGCCTTGAGAATGGTGGTTTTGGGCGTATCACCAATCCTGACGTATTGTTAGCGTTTGAGGAGGCTATAAGGAGTGACACCCCTATTTTCTTTACATAAATTCTGAACAAATTGAGAGAGATAAAGGAGTAGGGCAGATGGAGAGGGAAATTTCTAGCAATGTTACTTATGGAGCTGATAGAGAATGCGGCTTAGATATATGACAACAGGATGCCCAGTGCTGCAACTTAAAATGAGGCAGACTCATCCCGCCCTTCAGGATACTGAGGGGTAGCCTCCATCCTATTTTCTGTTAGAAACACAAAATGCAAATGAACAGAGAAGCCTTGAAGAAGAACGTTGTAGGTGTCACATTTTCTCCTCCTTCAGTGTCATTTATCTCCTGCTAAAGAACCTTTTACATTTTAATGTAACTTGCTTAAAGGAACATAGACAACGTCAAGTTATTAATTTCACCTGCTTCTCTAACTCAAAATGGAAATGAATGATATTACATGATGATGTTTTGGGGCCTTGAAGAGGATTCTCTCAAGGGTTCTCCATAAAAACGGGATCCCCGGGAATGAAATTGACAGGAAGTTCAAGTTCTTATTTGATTTACATAATCAAAAAAACAACCAAAAAACCACACCAACAGATCTGATAACAGTGGACCGATGTGAGTCAATGTGCGAAAGTATCACAGCCTCCTCTCTCGCTCACAGACCTGTTAGTTATATTAACTGTTTCGATGCCCCTTGAGCGGAAGGGAGCTGGAGAATGGACTCTAGTCTAACACTGAGAGGCTTCGAGCTTATATAAAAGTGACCAGTGTCTATTTGCCTGGCAACTTGTGCTCCACGGACAAGAACATAGCTTAATTTTTTGAGGGAAACTGAATGAGTTCTAATTGGTGGTGGGGGGAAGACATGGTCCGTGCCAACCTCTGATCAGAGTGGGGCTTATGAAAATTGAGCGATTCATGGATTTTTTTTTTTTTAACCTAAATCTTTCCTAGAGCAATTCAATGGGGCTCTGGATCTATTTCCTTATTTCCTGTGTGTACTGTTGCTGGGGGAGGTGCACTTTTTAATCTACAACTGGTAGAATTGCTACAACTATTACAATCTCTCCCTGGCCTGTGACCGGAGGGCTTACCTTGTAGAAA